AAAAGATATGTGCTCATCAGTATTCTAATTTTTGTCAAGCTGGATGGTGGTTTCTCCCTATGGCTTCATTTGCATTTCTGTGATTACTAATAAGATTGAGTTCCTCCCATATGTTTATTAGTCATTGGGATCTTTTCTTTTTGAAATGCTCATCCAAGCCTTTGCCTATTTTTCTTATTAATATATAAGAATTCTTCATATATTCTAAACACTAGTTTTTTTCAGTTACATGCATCAGAGAGAGTGTATTTTCTCGCTATGCTTTGCCACAGGTATATTTGTGTAACTGAGGACCTATTTATAAACTTTTACACAAATTTGTAATGGAACCTCTTGATTCAAATGCAACATTAAAATACTTTTTTTGGTGGAATTTACTTTAAATTTACCTTAAGAGCCATAAGAAAGGTTATATTGTCTGTAATTATGCATTTAGATAGAAAATCAATTTAATATATTCACAATTCCATTATATTTTGTAGGTTGTAGCTTTTGAAAATGACCTAGGCCAGTTTTTTGTCAGCTTTTTATTATTTTCTTAGCCATACGTTCTAACACTTATAAGCCAACAGTCAACCATAGTTAATAATTTTTCTTTTGATCATTAACACTGATTTCTCTGTTAAAACTTTTCCTTCAATATCTCACTTCGATTTGTACTTAGTAGCTTGCAGTGACCTACAGCAAAATGAATAATGCAGCAAGTGAAACACTGAGAAAAGGCTTTCCCAGAGGAAAATCAAGCTCAGAATTAAGCAAATAATTGTGGCAGGTCTCAAAAAAGTGGTGCCTTGGGGGGTTCTTTTAAGAATCAAGATTTCCTAAAGTGTGTTCCAAGGGGGTGGAAAAAGGCATTTAAAAGATGTTTTGCCGGTCAAAAAAGTTTGGCCAATGTTAGGTTTGGCCAGGCCAAAAGATTTTTTTTACTGAAGGACTCACCACACTTCTGCTGCCTCTGCTGGGTGGGAGAGGGGTGTGGCAGGCACCGGCTCCCAGATACTTAGACATTGGCACAGAGCCCTTTGCTCAATCACCCAAGTCCAGTTCTCTTTGAAAACTTTGGGAAATGCTTATTTGACTCCAGTATGTTGTACTTTAAAATTGGTATATGTAAATAATTTTTAAGTTGCAAAGCTTTTTTTCTGATTTTAAAAATAATATATATTCACTATAGAATAGTTGTTAAATAATTAAAGGTATGGTGAGCAAAATTAAAATCACCCATAATTGCACCATTGGAGATAGCCAGTTCTTTGGTGTATTTTCTTTCAGAAAAGTGTGTGTGTGTGTGTGTGTGTGTGTGTGTGTGTGTGTGTGTAGAGAGCTTTGGTGTTTTTATTTTTTTTTTTATCTTGGATAGAGAACATTTTATTCATTAGAAGAAAATCTTAGTCCCTATGATGGAATGCATATAAAGTTTTAAAAAACTGTTGCTTTATAAAAACCTTTTCATTTTGGAATAATTTTAGATTTCTTTTGTAAAGATGGCACAGAGAATTCCTGTACACCCTTCACTCAGCCTCCCCTAATGTTAACACTATATAGAATTTTATATGTTTTCTTCTATCTGTAATTACATTTTCTTCTAACTGCATGAAGTTTTTGGATTTTCAGTTTGATACAGCGTGCCCTCCCTTCTTCTTTCTTCTAGGTTACTACAATAATTGTACCAAAGTGGCTGTAAAAACCCTGAAACCAGGCACTATGTCTGTGCAAGCGTTCCTGGAAGAAGCGAACCTCATGAAGACCCTTCAGCATGACAAGCTGGTGAGGCTGTACGCCGTGGTCACCAAAGAGGAGCCCATCTACATCATCACGGAGTACATGGCCAAGGGTGAGCCCCCCAAAGCCGAGTGCTGTTACCAGCCTTACACCTCAAAAAGTAAAATGTCTAGATGTTCCAGTAATAGTCAAATAATTTGAATCGTAAAACAGCATGCTCACCACCAAAAAATCAGAAAATATGGGAAAACAAAGCATTTCCATAAACCACCCCCTCGTAAGTAATCCATGTTATAAAATTAATAGTCTTCCTATTTTCTCTACATTTATCTCCGTATTTATATTATCCCTAAGAATAGTATTCAATACCTAGTAGGCCCCCAGTAAATATTTATTAAATAAATAAATATATATTTTATACAAGAGTATTTTTATTACATATTTAAAATCTGAGTTCTCAGAATCCTAAAACTGGTTTGTTTTCCTCTTTAGAATTATCTAAATGTTCAGAGTGTCACTTCAAAATGTTAACATTTTTAAAACTTGTTGAGGTTGAATTCCTATATAACCATAGAATCATTGAAGAGGTTTCAAGCAACCATCTTTTCTCCCATTCCTTTCACCATCAGATAAAAAGGTTTGAATCACCATCCTTCTTCCTCCAATTCAGTAGAGATACTAATAAACTGACAAATGATTTCTTAAAAATCTTCAGAAGGAATGAAGGAAAAAAAGAAATATAAACAATAATCCAGAATTAGCCATCATCTCATGCATAATGGAGATTATAGTGTGATATCATAGCTGAATAGGTTAGAAAGATGAATATTTTCTTAATATATGTTAATACTTCAGAATATTAGTTACTCAGAGTCCTTCCAAAAAAGAACATTGTTTTTCTTTTGTCTTAAAAAACAAAGCAAAACAAAAACCTAGCCCGTATGGCTTAGGTTGCTATAGCCTAGAAACCAGTCTCAGGATTACACATTTAGTAGGAGTTGAGTAAATGCTAGTTGAGTTAACTAATAGTATTCTTCATCATAAATGGAAATGGGAGTTTCTCCTGATAATAATGCTTAACCTTTATTGAGCATTTACTGTGTGCCACTGTTCATGATGCTTTCCCTGTTGATCTCACTCAATCTTTCCAGCAATCTGAGGGCTAAGTACTATTGATCTTAATTGTGGATAAGGTGGGAGAACGTTTATGGGGCACTTACTACGTGCCAAGCACCATGGCACATGCTTTAATCCGTCCTCACAGGACCCTGTTCTATCTACTAGGACACGCCCACTTTACGGGGACTAGACCAGGTAAGTAGCTTGCCCGAGACTGCCCTGAGGCTGGCACGGTAAAGGGAAGAAGTCGCTCTTAGAGATGAGCCATAGGAAGCAGGAGAGTTTTTCGTGGGCACACTCTCTTTCAGGGAGGTCTAACTTTTTCCAAGCATAGTTTGGTCATCAAATACTCACAGAGCACCTAGGGCGTGCGCCGAGTTTTGTGCTTTTGCTGGACACAGATAGTAGCCAAGCTAGCTGAGTACCTGCTAAGGGCAGGCTCGCTGTGATGACTTGCTGGCTTCTGTCTCATAGAAGCAATGAAGATCAGGTGGCTGCAGTGAGTGCATCTTGGTGGCAAGTACACAGTGCTCTGAAATGCATTGTTCTCAGACACCTGTAATGAGAAAAGCTGTGTCCACCATCACCCTTTCTTACCTGGAGCACAGGTGCATTTCACATCAGGTCAAAGGTAACAGGTTAGAGCTTGATTGGGTTTGACCAACTTCAGGAAAAGGCCCTATGACCACAAAGAATTGCAAAGCCAGTCATTTTGTGGGGTTGTCCCCCTCCCCACATAGTAATGATCATTTGAATTTTATTTGGACTTTTTTTCTTTTGTATTAGAACCCCACTGACTTGTTCCTCCTTTATCAACAGGCAGTTTGCTGGATTTCCTGAAGAGCGATGAAGGGGGCAAAGTGCTGCTTCCAAAGCTAATTGACTTTTCTGCTCAGGTGAAGTATGAAAAAGCCAGCCTGCATGTAAATTTGCAAAATCCTCCCTGCTTTAGAGTCATAATGAAATTGTTGCTCCAGGAGAAGGCATTTCTTTTGACTGCTTCCCAGAGGCAGTTATGAGTGTACCTCCTTAGAGACAATACTGGGTGTTTCACACAGAATGTGGATGCATGTGTCATCGTGACTTGGATGTCATCTTTAATACAAGTCAATCTCTATATTTACATTCACTTCTGCACAAGTGATAGAAACAGTGTAGCTAAGTTGATCACTTGGCCCTGCATTTTGGAGAAGCAATTCCATGCAGTGTAAGCACAGCACCTTCTAAATGATGCCTATGTGACATCTAAATTACTAATCCAACATAGTGATACGTTCAAGTACTCAGGGTTCTTGAAACAAAAGAACAATATTTCTTTCCTACTCTACCCCTTTTTAGTCCCTTTCATTGGCTATGTCTTTAGGGTTCTGAGAAATATTCATTTATAATATTTCTAGAAATAGCCTAGAAGTTGCAAATTTGTTTACATTGGAATCACATTTCCAGAAGTGTATTTAAATCAGAGGGAAGTTACCCAGAAATCCAGCGATGTGCCTGGTATGTCAAGGAAGTGCACATTTGAATGATGCCAGCTACTGACTTGGAATAGTTTCATTGTGTTGGTTAGTTATGTTCAGTAATTTGCTTGTTTCTCAGTGTTGGTTCATGTTGGGAAGGCCACATACCATAAAACCCAAGTGGCACAAGAGATTTCCAGAAGTTCTAAGAAAGGGAGGTCTTTATGATCTTCATTTCTTACTCCCATTTCTTTCTCAGATCCTCTTTTAGATGGGAAATTGATAAGGCCTTCTTAGGAGATGAGATCAAAGGAATGAGAGAGGACATTCACGTAAGGTAGGATCAGAACACATACTCTGTAACCCAGTATTGTGGGCAGAGCTGGAGTTCAACATCTGGAGACTGGAATTTGTGTCGTGGCTCAATAGCCATGCCACTTTCAGGAAGCCCTTATTCATCTGTCGAATGGGAATGGAAATGCCTACTTTAAGGAGACGAGTCAAATCACATGAGTTGGCCTGGACACAGGCACTTCAAAGCTTGTTTGTGGAAACTGAGGAAATCTTGGGGGTGACATTCCTTATTTGTTCCAGCAAAGGTGTGTGATGACATCATCCCACTGAGCTCTCATCTCACCTACCAGAACGTAAGCTCCTTATCCAAGTAGGAAATTCGAATGTCATCTGGAATTCCCCTATCTAACATGGAAAGAAGCAAAATTGCCGTGGTACATACACATGGAGGAAGGGAACGGTTCAGCAGCACTGACTTTTTATGCATTTGCTCAAATTCTCCAAGCTGGCTCACGAGAGGCTCTATGGGACTGCCAGGGTCCCAGGACCACAGTTTGAAAACCATTGCTCTGCAGTAGGAGGAAAGATGACTTGGGTGGGTGCAGCTCTTGATCCTATGCAGATAGGGAGTCAGGAAATAGAAAAAGCAGAAGCCTGATAAACTTGTGTCGCACTTGACACGGCTAAATTGAGGGTGGTGATTTGGGCGTTTCCAACTGAATGAGAGAATTGAGGCTTGTAGTAAAGGTTTGTCACACCTGCTCCTCAGAAAGGGAAAGGGGCTGACAGGGACATAGAAATGTAGGACACATGGCTTGGGGCCTGAATGGTCATAGCCGTTCCAGTCTGCCTGAGGGCCTGATCTGTGCCTACAGTGCTGGAGGGGAGAAATTATGCACATTGAGGTGTGTACTATACCTGGAGAAGGACTTGTATTTGGTTTTGCATAGCTTATCTTATAAAACCTAATCTTAATGTAGTCAAAGTTTTAAGTCAAGGTCTTTGTATTTATTCTTTAACTTTGTAAATTACTATTATTACTACAAAGGGCAACTTTTCTAACTTAAAAATAAGTTTGGGGGAAAAGTTGCTTTCTAAGCCATTGTAGCTTTCAAAGTAAAGAAAGTATCACAGAGCCTGGCATTGACCATGACTTTCAAATTGTAGGTTCCAGGAGAGGCAGAGGGCAGTCAAGGCCACTACCATTGGTCTCCATTTAAGCCCGTGTACAGAATCCAGCTCGTGCTGGATGAGCACTTATGTATTGTCTCAGGGTTTCTTTCCTAGCAGTGAAGACTGGGCAGAATTCGTGGAACATCTAGTTTAAGTGCATGGAGTGTTAGGCGTCAGTGGGAGAATCAGTATCAGCTCAGGAAGTCCCTAAGCAGGTGGGTTCAGCACAAAATGCATTTTCTTTTCCACCAAATACCCTCTCCTTTTGAGTTCATCTTTGTTCATAGCGCAAACCTCACCCAGACTCTTCCCCAGTCTTTCCCTCAGGGCGGAGCTCATGGGGCCACCTGTTGCCTCACCCTTAATTATCATTTTCTTACTATAAAATCCATAACGTGAGGAAAGAGCGTGAACCTCCATCTGAAATCACGTACATTACACATCCGCTTTCTGTTAACCACGCCCAATAACGGGTCCCGCTGTGATACATACCACCCATTCCCTTTATGACTGGTGCTACCCAACATCCCGCCTCCTTTATATACCTTTCTGAAATGATCTCTCTATGCAAAGAAAGTCATCTCTGAATTCTCCTCCCTTCCTCATCATATGCCACAAAAGAACTGTGTCACTTTTCCGTAGTAAATCACATGAGAATAGTCGCTTTTAATAAAGCTGGCCCAAGGCAGTGAGAGGCTGTCTGGTGCCCAGACACTTAATAATACAGCCTTGCCTATACCTTTTCTCCACTAGGCTATTGATAGAGTGGAAATAGGTAAAGCAGAAGAATTATATAAGTCCATTTGGTGTTTGACAGTTACTAGGCTATAAAATATGTTTATACTTTCTTCCATTAGCATTGTCAGTAGCATCAAAGCATTGGGAAATTGAGTGTTCACAAAGAGTATAGTTCAACTCAGCAGTTTTTCACGGTGGAAACCTAAGAGTAGAAATAAACCAGTTTACTTCATCCCAGGCCGGAAGAATACGGGAACAGGGCTGCTGAGGGGCAGCGCTGGGACTTTTCCCACAGTCTGTCATCTGGCCTCTCCTTCCCTTTCCCCGTTCTCTACGTTCCCCTGACCATTCCCCCCCTGTGCCAACCGAGACAGGAAGTGGGGCGAGTGCATATGATAACCTCAGTTCATGTGAGAGCTGATTTCATCACTTCCTGTCTCAGGATGAATTCTGAAAGGTTGTTTTGAGCCCCAGTGTAATCCACACTCCCATCCCATCTTTTAGCCCCAACTAAAGCAGCTTTACCCAGTGCCTTTCTTCTTGTGTTAAATGAAGCGATTTTGAGCTGAAATAGGAAAGTTACCCCTTTGAAAAGGAAATTTTGTATTTTCAGAACAGAGAGATTTTGCATAATTCCCTTCCAGCCTTTGCCTCATGTAAGAGAAGAAATGAACTTGGAAAGAGTAGGGTTGAAATCTGTGGGAATTTCCTTCAGCTGAAGCTGAAATGAAATCAGTTTCAGTGGACTTGTAAAATTGAGAGGAAAAAAATGTCGGAAATTCACGGTTGCCACATGGACGTCAGATAAGTCATCTTGTAATTCAGGCCAAATGAATCAAAGCATTTCTTGCTGTTTGGTGGCAACATCTTTAAAGTGCAAAAATTACCAAGAATGAAATGGACAATCATGTATGAGTTAAACTGCAATAAAAATTGAAAAATCAAACTTGTTACAATCACGGCATCAGGTAACATTTCTTTAACTCCTTCTAGTTGATAAAGCACTTCTACTTCCATTGTCTAATTTGCCCCACAACCTTGAAAGCATTTATGTTGTTATTTAATGAATTTTACAAATGAGAAGGTGTGACCTTGGGCTTGTCCAAGGTTACAGAGCTGGTAGGTAGAATTGATGGACTTGGTCCTTGGTCTTCTGACTCTAGGTAATTGGCTCTTTTCTCTGCACTACATTGTCATTCTACGGTCAGAGTTGCTCCTATGATCATTTTGCACCTGACACTGTGCTCATATGGATTTTATTCATCAGAATTAATGATATCCTCAGCTTTTTTTTTTTTTTCTAAAAAATCTTTGTTGCCAAGACATAGATCTTTCTCTCACATAGTGATTATGCTCAATATATATTTTGTCCCCTAGTATTAAATTTTAAGCCACTTTTAAGTTGGAAATTGGTAAAACAAGGAAGGTAGGAAACCTCAGTCTACGTTCATGTAATTCTCAACCTTCTTGAGTAGGAAGGTCTTTTGACATCAGAGCTTTTTGAGTACTCCCTCATAGTATCTTCCAACTGAGAAAACAATACATAGGTTGGGAATTCTTTGTAATAACTCTAGGTTTGACCCACCAGTCTGTCGGTGGTAAATCAGGTCTGAAATGTTTGGATGGGGTGTTCTGGGTAAGTTTCTAGAGTATTTGTAGGTGCTGTTAGTTGTGGGTCTCCTCATTTTGTCTCTTTGTAAAAGATACTCAAAAGATAAATTAGGCTCTCATTTTCCAGCTCAAGGCAATCCTCCACCCCTTCCCCCAATAATGTTATGATAAGGCAACAACTTTATTTTCCAAACCGTGATTACCCTTTGATTGATAGTGTCATCACATTTAATTTACTTTAACTGGAGGAAGAATTACATTGATATGCTGAATCAGATTCAGTGGCAAAGTGGAAGCCTCAGGTGACAGACTTGGTTTGCATTTCATCCAGGAACGCCAGGCCCTATTCCCTCCCCATCTCATATTTAATCTCCCCTCTTTATGCAGGAATTCTCACACTTGACTCTATAGTGAGGCCCCACATTCCCAATTCTTCTAAGCACAAAAGCCTCCTCGAGGGGATATGGCCAGCAATAAAAAGATAATTAATTCCATAAAATAACCTGAGCTAGACTCCACTCTGGCTGAAGGGGCTACACGGCCAGCAGGATGTGATGACCCCCAGTGTGCATCCAAGAGCAATTGCTTGGAAGCCCTTCTCAATATAAAATATAGATGTGGTG